CATACTCGCACTTACCTAGCATGTGCACCATGCTCGGACGCAAAGATTTAGATGATCACACAACGGACAGCGATCATTCCCCAGTACTTAGTACATTTTCAGTGATTCTGCTTAATGCCAGATGCATAAACAACAAACTTCATTTTATAAACACACTTGTACAGTTTAATGACACATAAGCGATCCTCGTTACTAAAACACGGTGTTCTTCTGATACACTTGACTCTTCTCTGATGATTCCAAACTACCACCAATTTGGAAAAGATCGCTGAGACAAAAAAGGTGGAGGGTGTATTATATACCTACGCAGAACGTTTACAGTTAAACCTATAGACCATTCACAATTGGGAAATATCCCTGAATCTATTTGGCTGTCAGTTGCCGGTGTCTCATCTTACACACTACTCGCATGTATCTACAACCCACCGAATGCGTCTAAGTATCACCAACATCACTTCTGCATTTGACTTCGCATCAGGGTTTTCACACAGCCAGAAGACTATTGCCGGCGATTTCAACCTACCGAAAATACGCTGGTCATCCCACCCAACGTCCACCATGCACGCCTCTTTTCTTTCTTCCATCATGGCTGGGGGCTGGACACATTGGTTTATCAGGCTAACCAGGTCCGCTAATGTACTGGACTTAATATTCACATTGAGGATACCCAATTCACAGACCGAGATATTAAACCATCCCCCTTGGAACGACCAAAACATGATCCGACTCAGCTTCCAAATTAAAATCGTCACTAAACTCGCTTCTACAGTGCCGGTTGCAACCCATAAGATAAACTGGGAATGCTTTCAGAAGTTCATTCGTTTCTTCGACTAGGATGTATTTCTCCTCTCAACCAGTGTGTACACCACCGTGGAGCAGTTCTATAAACAAATTCATCATGCTACAGCCCTCCTTGCTCCACAATGTATTCATACCCCTCATGTCTCCAAAAATTCCGTCAAGCACTTAATCAGCAAGAAAACCAAAAAGTTAGCTGCAAAGTACAGAAGGACCCATGATTTTCACTTGTCTTACAAATGCATGAATTTGCTACCAGAGGCAAACAAGCGCAATTAACACGACGAAGAAATGAAGAATGTACAGCCCTACGGACAAGCTGCAAAGTTAGGGAGCTGGTCAAAATACTGCATTGTAGAACCAGTGACCGCTCTCCTCTGATTACCGAAATCGTTGATGGTGAGAGTCACTTACTCCATAACCCAGCTGAAATCTTTGAAGCATTCAGCGGCTTTTTGCCACAACCATGAGTCGCGAAGCTCACCCGGTGCCTGTGGGCACAGAGCTCACAGAAACAAACCTCTTAAGCAGAGTCGATATCTCGCTCAACGCTATCCATCAAGTTATCAAATTAATCAGACCATCTTCCAAGCTGGGATCTGATAGCATTTCACCAAGCACGATTAAACTAGGAAGACCTGATATACCATTGCCACTGACGAGCATGTTCACTCTATCTCTGGACTCTGGCCAATTTCCAGACCAGTGGAAAACGTCATTTATTATGCCTCGGCATAAAGGAGGTCCCAAACAAACGATTAATAACTACCGACCAATCCACCACACTTCGATAATCGATCGGCTATTTGAAAACTGGTCAAAATGGAGATGATGAAGTTTGTTGATTCTATTGGCCTGATCAATAATTCGTAGCATGGTTTTCCCAAAAAGCGGTCATGCACCACCTGTCAACTGCATTACTTTCATCACATTTCAAAAGCAATCTATTCCGGCTATGCAGTAGTAATCTTGCTTATTGACATACACCAAGCGTACAACCGAGTACCGCACAAGCGACTGCCACAAAAGTTGGATAACTTTGGGCTCCGGGACCTATTACTAGGTTGCCTATCGATATACCTGAGTGATCGTCATCAGGTAGTCACTTGAGGTCATTATCGCTCTTCCCCACACTCAATCACCAATGGAGTCAATGAAAGGAGCGTGCTCGGCCCCTTAGTCTTTTCGCTCTACATCAATGGCATCACCACATCTGTAGAGCATGGTGCATCATTTGTATTGGATGACGATATCGAACCAGTCTACAAGTTTTGGCGTGACGAGCTTCACGGGACATTACTGCTCATTCAAATTGACTTACATTCCCTTGAGTCATGGTGCTGCACATGGGTGATGAATCTCTCGGCTAAGAAATCAAGCATCATGTCTTACGGCTGCTGCATCCGCAAAGGATCTATCACGCTAAACAATGAACGCGTCCCTACATAGTTGTCCAAGCGAGATCTTGTCATTAGGTACTCGTCTACCTTCAATTTCTCCGAACGGGCCCAATACCAAGTAGCACATGCCAGACAGTGTATGTTTAATAGGTCAAACAAAATACACACAACTCGTGCTAGAGTTGAGCTTTTCAGCTACTCACTCGACCTGTCCTCCAATAACGCAGCATAATATACGGCAATATGAGGAAGAGTGACAGAATTTTTGTGGAGCACCTGCAGAGGTCATTTACTAAACATCTGATTGGTAAACACTCTGCTATGAGTTATCGAGAACACTGCAATGAACTTCATTTCGAAACACTTTGGATTCGACGATTGTAGCACAACTTGTTGTTGCTTTCCAACATGTTACACAAAAATACCTATTCCGACCTGCCTACACACAATTTACAACATTGTTCAACTCGAGCGCTTCGCAACAAAGTTTTTACGTTGAATATACTGAAGTCTAGAACGAACGTCCGCTCTAATTTCTTCCTGGTCAGATACAGCTATCTGTGGAACAAACTACCAATAACACAGGTCATGTGACAATGTAGCAACATTTAGTAGCAGACTCGCTACTTACATTGATCTAACTACCCTAAGCTCTATATTCACATGCGAAAAATCCCTGGATGAGCTACTCCAAGAGGGGCCCAAAAATATATAAACACCAATGTTTTCATAACTAGGTTTTGGCCTCAACCATCCGACAGAATGTTAATACATGAAACGCATATCCCAATGCTCCACCTATTCATCTAACCCCAGCAAGAGCATGGATTCTTCTGTAAAATTGATCTGTGCCGCTATAGACACAGTTTCGCTCATTAATAGAAATATACCTATTATTATTATTATTATTATCATTATTAATCCATTTCCTAACCCAGGCCAATAATGCGGTCGAAGTGGCAAGTGTGTCACATCATCGCTGCAGTTTGTCTTGTGATTTCACCTGTGCACAGGTTCACACATTTTAAGTGTTTGCTTTTTCACATCCTTAGTCTGGCTGCGCCTGATGTAAATGTTGACAATGTGCCTACCTGTAGAAAACCGCCATTTCGTTTATACCGTCAATAAGAGCCTGTAGATGGCTGCTGGGAAAGTCGGGGTGCACAGTCACCTTGACCGTGCTAGGCGCAGTGATTTCATACAATTTGGAGCAGACTACGACCCATCCACTGCCTTGTGTAGGTCTGGCACGCCTGATCCCCAAATCTGACACACAGGAATGCTGCTGGTGTTCATGTTGAAGGAGTGTGGTTCGACTACGAATCAATAATGACTCCCATCCACATGCCTTCCGGTCATATTTCTTCGGGTTTGCACTGGATATATCGGTGGGGATAGAGCTGTGGGTGATGCAGCGTAAGCCACATATGGTCCTTCTGTAGGCGTCCTGCGGCTGCCTAATGTCGGCCACATTGACAAACAAAGGAGGAATCGGACGCCGCGAATTATATATATATATATATATATATATATATATATATATATATATATATATATATATATATATATATAGGCTGGCTTGCCGAACAACCTCCTCGTGGTGCCAGCTGGGTGGTTCGGGATTTTCCCGTTCCAGTAAATGGTTCGGCGGCAGTGTTCCAGGACGTGGTGGGTTTTCGCCTGGCAAGCGTTCTCCCTATAAAAAGCCACATATGTCCGTTTAACAACACTGTGACGTGGCGGACGTGACTCGCCACTAAATAAAGTCACTGCCCCTTGCTTCATCCTGGCGAAGCATTGTATTCCAGCAAAATCATGCTGCACTTCTGGGGAGCATTGGGCCCCTGTTTGGCAAAGGAACAAACGAAAGGCGTAAGAACTGATCAATCAGTCACCGGCTCCCAATGGGCGCGATTCCCTGAATTCGCTCCGCTGCCTTGTGGACAGGCTATTCAGCCAAAGGCTCGGGGTGGTGTCCCCTAAGTCAACACCCTACTTCGGCTTGGGCAACCGGGTAGTATCTTGCCCTCTGAGGAAACCATGGACATTGTTGTGTTGTGTTTTATTTTACTATTTCTGTATCTTCGTTTGAATCCCATGGTTTCTGATGGCATTATGTCTATTCGTAGACTTTTGCAAATATATATATATATATATATATCGCGGGCATCATGTCAAAATGCTCGCTGAATGTACAAAAGGTTTTTTCGTTTCTGGGTGTATGGATAGCGTCTGAGCGATCCTCGTGAGGCTAATGTTTGTTGTGTTGTCCCTAGAGGAGGCGAGGATATTTGGAAGCGTGAAAGGAATTGTCAGCAGCACAACTCAGTTCCGATACGGGGATGACATTGTATTAACAACTCTAAATAAGACGCAGGTTGGTCGCATAAAAGCCAGCAGTAGACACTAATAGAAGGTATTTCGGGAGTCCAGGAAACGTTTAATGATGACCTGGATGTTGTGAAACAGGAGTTCAAACAGTAGGTGTCTTAAGATCTTAGCACGTGAGATCGCAAACTGTCAAAGTCTCCTTGAGTACATTTAATCTTTTCAGTCGGCGTATTAAGGTAGCTACCAAAACACGCAGGTGAGGCGGTAAATCAGGAGAGATTACGCTTGCATTAGGATTCTTCTGCTGACCTAAATCGAACCGGTATCAGTCGGAAGTTGAGTAGGGAATTTTTAAGCAAATTAGGATACAAGAAAGAAATTCGAATGTTATAATGGTCTCACTTCGAAGAACACCCCCTCCCAAGTGTTGCCGAATTAACGATAGGCTTTTCTGCGGTTGTTCTTTATTAGGACGCAGATGATCACGGAAATGCTCCGCAAAGGTCACCGGGAGAAAGATAGCACAATGGACGAGGATGAGGAGGAAGAAGACGAAGAAGATGATGTAACTTACAGCGATGATGAAGGTGGACGTCGAAGCTCACTGGGTGAAGTTGATTCTGTCGTCCCTTACGAAGGAGATGACGGAGAGATGGATGAACTTGGGAAAGATACAAAGGAACAGGCGGTCAAGAACCTGCCACTCTCTGTGGCTGCGGTAAACGCGGAGTTGCTTCGCCGACTAAACAACGTGTTGGAGAAAAGCAAAATGAATCGTGAGTGATAAGTACCCTTTTTAACTGTCAAAAAATTGAACTCGCGAATGTGGAAGAAATAAACACAAGTAAAGCACCATTACTGAACGGTCCATCTAACCCACATAGATAGTTTAAGCCTTTCGGCCTATCCGCAAAGTCGTAGGTAGTGCATGATTTGATGGATATTTACTGGTTGCACGCATGAGCTGTCAAGATGGTTTATCAAGTACAACAACCCAGGTTGGAACTTCCGCTGAAAGCATCCTGTTAAGAAATATTTAACAGAACACAAGGTGTGTGTGAAAAAGTAAGGGTACTATGAAGATAAAGGTCACATATATCGCACACAAGTATCGCCGGAATCCACTGAACATCATCGATAGAGTTACAGCTTCAGTTTTACTGACTAACATTTTACCAAGGCCGTATGAAAATCATGGGTACATAGGGATGTGGGATAAACGTGTGTCACATTTGAACCCTTCCTTCTTCATTCCACATACTCATTTAGATGAAGGACGCACTATGCGCCTATGAAAGTAGACATGTTGGCAAGTTGTACAAAGTGATGAACCTAATTTGTGCATCTAATCGCAATTTGCTCTTTATATCTATCAATTAAGTTAAAGAAAATCCCTTGCTTTCAACGGCATAAGTGGCGTGCATTACACACCGCTATATTGTGTACGTTAGTACTTACATTTGCCGTCGACAACAATCGGGATCGTATCTAACTGCCTCTTGATCAATCTGGTGCTCGAATGCTTGTCATATACCAACACTAATCTTTTCGTTCATATGTCTTAAAGCACTGTGCGTTTGTTGCTTCCGCGTTTGGGTTGTCACTTAATCCGAGAGCTCGTTGGAATAACTGTTGTCAAGCTATTTTGAAATGTTAGACGAAATGACTGACGAAAGTATAAGTGGGAAAGGAACTATATCTGGTTCCGGACAACATGCGTTGCAATATCATTCTATATCTGCTTTGCGCAAAATGAGTGGATCACATTCGGTGCATTGTATCTCACTCCGTTGGGTGCATGCCTAATACAATATCATTGCAATCAGTCGGCCATCACACGAGGTTAACAAGAACTAGGTTGAACTTTACAAACTCAACATATCAGAATGACACTAGATGTGTAGTTGTGTGGTGCATAAACAATAAAATATCTAAAATGTCCTGAGACAAGAAGAGCAGAGGTTTTCTGCCATCCCAAGATGGTATATTAATCTCCGCGCTGACATACCTTCTAGGAGCCGCGGACTTTCTGCAAAGGGTTCATGAGCTGTATCACGTGGGCACCATCCAAGTTTGGCTCGTTCCACCTCAGGCACTGTCGCAGCTGGCAGGTTATAAAGAAACTACCAAAGAGGGACCAGTGAAGAACAGAAAGTTGCACAGCAGTCAATCAGAGTCAGGACATAGTAGTTCACGATCCGACAGTATGACGAGAAGTTCGTCACGTACAAATGAATTGACGGTGGAAGATGATCCTCAGCACGACATACAAAGCATTGAAGGTCACAATGCGATAAGGTGGAATCCGGTTGAGCTACTTACTGGACGTGACGGAAAGTCTCCCATGATCCCAGATATGTCGGCAGCTCCGGAAAAACCATTGGCTATGTACAATGTAGGTGTATGATGCATAATCTCACTTAAAGATTTCGTATCGTTATCGTAAATGTACGTTCCTTTTGTAAACCATGCTGCTATAACTCTGTTCTATCTGGCCTCAGTTCAAATAGCAAACAACAGATGTTACTCAGCAAAAGAATTATTTGCTCACCTTGTAATCCCGAGGTCACCGGCTCGAATCCGAGCAGGTGCGGGTGATCTCGCGGTATATGCAGTCCACGCGCGACCGGTGCCGGCTGCGTGGCAGTAAGGTGGTGTTGTTGGGTCTTCCTTGTTCTTTCTTCTTCCTTTAGAAAAGCATGCATATGATAGACGATTAACGTACGCAACGCTTCATGAGACAGGTATTATATAAACTGTTACCGTGAATATAACCTTGGATAGCACATATATCCATGGAGTTCCATCCAGTCGCAATGAGTTTGGTGTAAAGTTAGTCTCAGTACAGCTTTGCAGCAAGAAAAATGGTCAAATAGACTACAATGGACGAGTGGCATGTTAATGCACGCTGTCATGTAGCGCTCGACGCACCGTCATTCGTAAGTGAGTAATCTTCGGTTAAGAACGTATGATTACCAAGCTCCATTAGGGGTCTCGTGTATATATATATATATATCTATAAAACCCGCAGTCTATAAGATAGGCATAGAGTCAGCGAAAACCATGAACTGGAAGTAATGAGTACCGAGACCATAAAGAAATAATGGAAGTTATAGAAACATTTTTGTCTATTTTTTGTTTATTTCTGCACACGCAGTCTTATCTTTTTTGTCTGTTTAATGTTTGTGATGTACATCAAGAAAAATAAGACGAACCTTTATACACATTTGCTATTGTGCTCGGTTCTGCCCCATCTCCGAAAGACTTTTTAGCCAGCGGTGTTCTTCTTCTTTTATCTCCAGCCCGGAAGGCGCACAGGACCTACAACAGTTAGACTGGAAGTCAATGCTTTAATCTTTTGTTGCCATGTGATAGGCTGACCACGGCGCGATTTCGCGCAGTCTGGTCCTGTGCGAGCGAAGAGAGAGAGAGAGAGCGCATCGGGGTAGCCGTTCGCATGGCAGGCGTAAAACCTGGCACAGCCATCACAGTTAGCCGCAGCGGTACCAATCTGTGAAGTGGAAGTCTCGTGTTAACCAAGACGGGACGTCTGACATCATCCTTGCGCACGTGCTACAACCATCACATTCGAGCTATTCTCCGTAGACATCCATTGTCAAAGGCCGAAATCCGACGCGTCATTCACACAAATTGGTCAGGACTCACTCCCATACAGCAGCACCGCGGGAACACAGGCATTGTAGACCCTGACCTTTACCAATGGTGAAACGTCACGGCGTCGCCACAGATGCCTCAAGTTGGTGAATGACGAACGGGCTTTGGCAATGCGGGGGAAGTCTTTTTTCCAATACTACCATCAGCAGACACAGCTTCCCTGGTAAATAAAGTTGTCCACATGTTCAAGCTGCGTACCTTGAAGAGTGAGCACTGGAGCAGACGGATGCCAATGCAGGACCAGGACTTTGCATTTCGTGGGGGCAAAGGTCATTCCATATTTTGATGATTCAATCGCCAAAAGGTTCAGAACGGTCTGTGTGCTCTGTGCGTCACCATCAAGCGAGGCAATAACAGCAGCATAATCGATCACGCTGTTGCCAGGTAGAAGCACTACACCAGAGCTCTGAAAGCCCTCGAGAGCATTTGAAATGACATCCTCGATCGCAAGACTGAAGAGAAACGGTGACATGAGATAACCCTGTCTTACACCGCTAGTGACGACAAAAGGTGAAGAGAGCTTAACATAAACCCACACTTTACCTGAGACATTACAACCTAATGCTCAAAGGACGGCGATATACTTTTCAGTTACTCTATTCCTTTGAAAGAAACGCCATAAAGCTGACCTATCGACGGAGGCGAAAGCGGCTCGGATGTCCAGAAAAACAACGATAGTGGACTGGCGATAAAGATGACGCTTTTCAAGGATTTGCAAGAGCGCAAACAAGTGGTCTACACACCCTCGACCGGGGGTGGAAACCAGCCTGTTCTTCACGGGAGTGCAATTCTCGAATCGGGGTTAGTCCGCGGAGTAGGATGGATGTTAACAACTTGGTGGCAACGAAAATTAGACTGATTCCTTGGTGGTTAAGGCCCAGGATACGGGCACCTTTCTTGAAGATCAGGACTATAATTGACTCGTTCCAAGCGGATGGAACTGTTTCTTCGCGCCAGATCTTAGAGAACAGAGCTGTTAGCTGGTTGGCGTTTCGCCCCCGAACTTGAACAGATCTGAAGGAAGTCCGTCTGGGCCAACAGACTTGAATCACTTCAAGTGTCGGAACTCAAGATAGACCTCAGCTTCAGTGGGTGGTTCCAGTGAGACGGTAAAAGGCGCGCAATTACGTGTACGTGGTGGAGGAGGCCACCTGAATTGAGTACGGAAGTGTTCAGCCCGTTAGTCCATGCGCCTGTGTAAGTTGGTGATCGGCGTTCCGCCAACCTCGTAAATGAGCTCATTAACACCAGGTCTTTTGTGATCAGTGGCCCGAAGGACCTGGAAGAGTTTACGAAAGTTTACGAAGTGGGTTGCCGTTTCCCTCCCTGAGGCGCGCTGGGACCACCAAGTTGCGCGATCAGCACGCAAGCTTTGTTTAAGTAGTTGGCTGAGTAGGTGACGCAATGCACTGTTATTTGAATCGCTCGGGATAACTCTACGACGATCAAACAATTCCAGTGCGTGTGCGGAAATGTAGTCCCTCAGAGGGCGTCTTGTGATTCCGCAGATTGATTGACTGGAAGTTAGCATCGCTTCACGCAGGAAACTCCAAGGGTTTTCGATGTCTCGAGGTGAAGCACTAATGAATGCATGTGATAGGGACGCTTGATAAGTTGATCGAGTAGAGAGGTCAACTAACCTGTTGGTGTCGAGCGTATGAGCTTTCCTTTTGAGGAGCTGCCGAAGCGCATGCAGATGTCCGTGCGGACAAAATCGGTATCTGAATCCAGGTACGTGGACCAAATCGATCTGCAACCCCGGACGCTGCTTCATCATCTAAAGCTGGTTGCAATGTGATCTATCTGTGACCACGATTGCGTTGGTGAAGGAGGACGCTAGGTAGCTGCACGTCTTCTGGCATGCCCAAAGTTAGTATTTGAGAGAAAGAGACGGTGGTCATCGCATAAAGTAAGAAGTCCATCACTGTTGTTAGAACGGCTCTCATCAAGCGCGTGACTGCCACCAAGATGACGTTCGCACGGAAGCAGGCCATCTACTCGTGCATTGAGATCTCCGACAAGGACGATAACATTGGACTTTTCGGATTTGTTCAAAAGGTTGTGGATTCCACAATAAAAGTCCTCTTTAACCAATGCACAGCTGCCGTCGGTTGGACCTTAGGCAGAAAAGACAAACAAATTGCGCCTCACTTCACGATGTCTGTTGATTCTACATGAGACTTGAAACGGAACTGTACATAGCCGGCTGTCGATTGGAAACAAGTAGAGTAATGCAACCTCCGCTTTGTCACGCAATGCGATACCGACCCGAGCTAAGCCGGCGGCTGCTGCCTCCATGTCACTAAACAGACGTAGGTAATATGTGGTTTCAAGAGCAGTTGGGGACGACAACTTAATCACTATGCTGGGATCCTGCAATCAAGTCTCTGCAAGGCAACAGATATCGATGGCGAGGGATTCTAGAGTGCGCACCAGGCCAGTTTGTTGTCCAATCTGTAGGAGAGTCCAAATACGGAAAGCTGCCAGGCGGAATGAAGTACGCGGTCGAAGGATAGATGATGGCCGGATGATTTGGATATCACCAAGACGGGCATTGGAAGTAGATTCAACAGGTTGTGGATTATCAACAAAAGTTGGTGTGTGATGGAGAAGCACGAGTAGCAGCAGAAGTAAGTGATGTAGTAGTAATTGAGAAATCCATGGTTTTCACAAAGGACACGAAACTACGCGGTTGCCCAATCCGAAGTAGGGAGTTGTCTTAGGGGACTCTACCCCGAACCTTTGGCTCAATAGCCTACCGGCAAGAGAGCAGAGCGAAGTCAGGGATTCGCACCATTGGGAGCCGATGACTGATTGCTCAGTTCATACGCCTTTCGTTTGGTAAGTAGCCAAACAGGAGCCCAATCTTCCCCACGATTTCAGCAGCAAGGTGTTGGGATACAATGCTTCACCAAGATGAAACAAAGAACAGTGAGTTTATTTAGTGGCGAGTCACATCCGCCACGTCGCAGTGTTTTTAAACGGACACATGTGGCATTTTATAGAGAGAACGCATGCCAGGCGAAAACCCACCACGTCCTTTAACACTGCCGCCGAACCACTGGCTTGACCGAGATAATCCAGGATCACCGAGCTGGCACCAAGAAGAGGTTGTTCGGCAGGCCAGCCGAATAATAAGCAATTACCTTCAAATAGCTTTGATGAACGGGAAACGGAAAAAACAGTTCGCAGTAGCGCGCAACTTAAATAAACAAACAAGGAAATCTAAGCGTATACAAGTCAGTGAAGTATGACTGAAGACGATGGGAGAGTCATTACTTCAGAAATGCTTAAAGACAACCAGTTGGTACAGTTGCATGGCAGGATTTCGCATACATACATACAAAGGTTTTACCAATTATCGTGAACTTAGCATGTTTGAGGCGGTATATCAGAACGCGTTGTGCTGATGACGAAAATAGGTAAGGACCAGTGGTTAGTCGTGCACAAGCATAACAATGTTTTCACATGACAAACATTTTACGCGAGGCTATTATGGCGGTGATTCGACAATCACCATCCACCTGGAATCCGTCTGCCAACGCTAATCAGGCCGATTGAGTTAAGCCATCCGTTATTCATCCGACAGCTCAAACACATGTACATTATGCATACGGATACTGGCTTTGATGAGTCATATCAAGTGGGCAATTATCTTTCTGGTGCTGCTCTTAATCTCATGAGTACATAAAATATCGTCATTAGTTGTGCGTAGTAGGG